AGGAGAAGTATGTCTTGGAAGAACTCACTGACCGGATATCGTCGTCGCAAACAAAAATGAAGTTTTGTCAGATGGAAGAGCCACATTATCTACACCATGTCCAAATAATATTCAAGTGAAAGAAAACTTACCTGAAGAGAGACAGTGTGATGTATTCATTGAACATCAGAATAGACATGAGTCGATTGGAGAGAACATTTTTCAGACATCCCCCGATGATGATAAGCCTGGGTTGTCTGTGGAGGACAAGGAATTTTTGGCTATCATGGAAAAGGAATTTTCTCGTGATGATAGTGGCCAGTGGGATTACACCATTACCGTTTCGAGAACCAAGACAGAAACTACCAGACAATAGACAACAAGCATTGAAAAGAGCAAGGATTCTAGACACTAGCCTGAGGAAGAACCCTGTGAAGTGTGAACATGCAGTTGCCTTCATGAAGCGCATTCTTGATGCACAATATGCAGTGTTAGCACCACCGTTAAAGGACACAGACGAGTTCTGGTACTTACCCATCTTCAGCGTTTACCATCCTAAGAAACCAGACCAAGTTAGAATGGTGTTTGACTCCTCTGCACAGTGTCATGGTGTATCCTTAAACAACGTGCTTCTATCCGGCCCTGATTTGACGAACAGTCTACTTGGTGTTCTTATGAGATTCAGACTTGATGATATTGGTATCATGGCCGATATACAGCAAATGTTTCATTGTTTCAAGGTGCGAGAAGATCATAGAAATTACTTACGTTTCTTCTGGTACTTAGACAACGATCCGCAGAAGCCTTTGGTAGAATACCGGATGTGCGTTCATGTTTTTGGCAATAGTCCATCACCTGCTGTTGCTACATATGGACTTAGAAGAACTGCACAGAATGCTGAAGCTACCTATGGAAGTGACGTCCGCAGTTTTGTGGAGCGCAATTTCTACGTTGATGATGGTTTGATTTCCATGTCATCTGCAGAGAAAATCGTCAGCCTGATGAAGCGTACACAGCAAGCTCTACTGGAAGAAGGAGGTCTCAGACTTCACAAATTTGTATCCAACAGCTGTGATGTGATGAAACACTTTCCTACTGAAGACCTTGCAAAAGACCTGATGTCACTCGATCTTTTGAAAGATAACCTTCCCATTCAGCGTAGTCTTGGGATAAGCTGGAATCTACGAACCGATTCATTTACTTTCAGACTCTCTTTAGATGAGAAGCCATACACTCGCCGAGGATTTCTGTCTTGTGTGAACAGCTTCTATGATCCCCTGGGACTTATAGCACCAGTTCTCATTAGAGGAAAATTGCTACTGAGAAAGTTGACATTAGAATCTACAGACTGGGATCAACATCTACCTGAACACTACCAAGAGGAGTGGGAACAGTGGAAACAACAACTACTGCATCTTGAAGACCTGGAAATCCCTCGTCCTTACCTACCTGTACCAAGCGAGAGTCTCGTCAGGAAGGATGTTCACATTTTTACAGATGCGTCAGAAGATTCCATTGCTGCAGTTGCCTTTCTTAGAGCAAAAGATTTAGATGGCAATTTGCATCAAGGTTTCGTACTCGGTAAAGGAAAAGTGGCGCCTAAGAAAGCAGTTACCATCCCTCGTCTTGAGTTATGTGCTGCAGTACTCGGTACCGAAATTGCCAAAATCATCTCAGATCAGTTAGACATTGAACCCAAAGAAATTTATTTCCATACAGATAGCAAAGTTGTCCTTGGCTGTATCTACAACAAGACAAGAAGGTTCTACACTTACGTTAGCAACAGGGTTGAGCAAATTCATAAAGTCTCATCACCAGAACAATGGAATTATGTGCCATCAGAATATAATCCTGCTGACCAAGCAACTAGACCCATAGCAGTTGAAAATATGATGCACAGTCCCTGGCTCTTTGGTCCAAAGCGATGGTTTCTCAGTAGTCAAGACCAAGACACATCTGAAATACTTGAAACAGGTGAACCTGTTCCACTGGAGTTTGATCTCATAGATTCCGAGATTGATAAGGAGATTAGAACAGCCGTGGCAGTTAAAAAGCTACACATTGGAGATTCTCTCATGGGAACTAAACGACTAGTCAACTACTCAACATGGAAGAGTTTGGTTTCGGGGATCGCAAAGTTAAAACATGTTGTCAGATGTTGGAGTGGAACAGCATCGTGTAGAGGTTGGCATATCTGCAGCAAGGCAAATAATGTTGACCTTTATTTGGAAACAGAGAAACACATCATCAGAGAGGTCCAGAGAGAAGTGTTTGGAGAAGAAATCAGATGCATCACAGAAGGTCGAGAACTCAACACGAACAATTCACTTGCGAAATTGAACCCCTTCATAGACTGTGATGGTATTTTGCGTGTAGGAGGCCGATTAAAGCATTCAGAATTGACTGTCAACGAGAGAAATCCTATCGTTATTCCTGGAAAGCAACACATAGCCACGCTTTTGGTGCGCCATTACCACCAACTCACTAAACATCAGGGACGCCATTTCACGGAGGGCGCTATCAGATCCGCAGGCTATTAGATTACAGGAGCAAAACGTCTAATATCTTCAGTTATATACAACTGTGTGATATGCAGAAAGATGAGAAGAAAACCTGAACATCAGATCATGGCAGACTTACCATAAGTCACCTGGACCACCATTCTCAAGTGTTGGGGTGGATACCTTTGGACCGTGGGAAGTTAGTGCACGTCGAACACGAGGAGGATTGGCTCATGCTAAACGCTGGGCAATAATGTTCTCTTGCCTCACATCTCGAGCTGTTCATATCGAGGTAGTGGAAGAGATGAGTTCCTCATCCTTCATTAACTCTCTCAGGAGATTCATCGCTATACGAGGCCATGTTAAAGAGTTCAGATGGGACCGTGGTACAAACTTTGTGGGAGCAACAGAAAGTCTAGGAATTGACGTGGTGAATGTGGAAGATGGACCTGTCAAGAAGTTTCTTTTGGACAACAGAACAGTATGGATCTTCAATTCACCATACTCCTCCCATATGGGTGGAGCCTGGGAGAGGATGATAGGCCTCACGAGACGGATCCTAGACTCCCTGTTGATAGATGGAACTGCAAAGAAGCTGACACATGAAAGCCTTGTTACATTCTTGGCAGAGGCAAGCGCTATCATAAACTCACGACCACTCATTCCAGTTTCAACGGACTCAGAGTATCCCTTCATACTTACGCCATACACTCTTCTGACCCAGAAGACGGACAAAGGCGGAGAACCACTTGGACCCTTTGATGAGAAAGACGCATTCAGGGCACAGTGGAAGAGAGTTCAGCTATTTGCAGACCTATTCTGGAAACGATGGCGCAAAGAATTCTTAGTCACGCTACAAAGTCGAAAGAAGTGGCCACACAACCAGAGAAATTTATCCGTTGGTGATGTTGTGTTACTCAAAGATAGCTCAGCGCATCGTTGTGACTGGAAGATGGCAGTGGTGGAACAAGTGTACCCAAGTGAATCTGACAAGAAAGTCCGTAAAGTAAGACTTCGCGTGAACAGAGACGGTGTTAATGTGTTCTATACGCGCCCGGTCACAGAGACTGTCCTTCTGATTGCGGTGTAATTTCATGTAACAATGTCCCAAATTCTTCAAGACTGTTATTTAATATATTGAACATTTTATGTAATTAGGTTCATAGTGATATCCTAGATATCAGACGGGGAGTGTAATGTTTATGAACATTTAATTTATATGTTTATATTTTTCCTATATCATTTGTATCTATTTCAGAGCTAGAGTTATCTCTCTTTATACCCCCCGCTTGAAAAGCGGGAGGGTATATAGTGATCGGGATTTCCGTCCGTCCGTCTGTCCGTCCGTCCGTCCGTCTGTTACGCTTTTTCTCTTATCCGTAACTCCTCTTATACTACTGAGTGAAATTTAATGAAACTTTCACAGAATCTTTATTACATATTGCCATTGTGCACCTCCTATTTTACTTTTTTATTCGACACGTATTTTAGGTTTCCCAGAGCAAAACATGGACATTGCCATTTTTGTTTACCTATGACGTCACATAATAGAAGCTTCTGGATAACATTTGATAGAACGAGTTATTCCTCTTTACACATTACCGTAAAACAATATAAAGCAACACATCGACATTATGGGAGGCGGGGGGTATCATTTAGTGAGCTCATTGCTCACAGTACCTCTAGTAATCTAATAGTTATCTGTCATAATTTCAAGAGTTATCTTTTTACTTGTAAATTTTGGAGTTACTTTTTCCTAAAATCCTCACTTCCTGTCTTTATTTCATGTGTGACCCACACATGGAGACCCTTGCTAGATTTCTTCATTTTTTGACTTAAGCTGCCACACACTGTAAGTAAACCTGTGCTATTTTTGTTTATTACGCGTATACTTATTATATCTACAGTGTTTTTGTATGAAATGTTTGTAATTTGTTTATTAGGAATATCTAATGTTAACTCTGGAAAGTATGGAACACTGTTGTTGTCATAATCTTTATACTTAAAACTGAAGTACGTTCATAACATTTTTCTATAGAAACCCATTTGTGTCAAAACTTTATATTTTGAAACTGATAGTGAATCTTATGTCTATTTATCTTTTGAATATTTTTTATTTACAACTTATTACACAGTTTATGCTACATCTATAGTTATAAATTGACATTATTTATCATGTAACTGATGAGTAATTCTTTGTTTTTGTTTTGTTTCAGTTCTTTACCGTTATCACAATAAATCAATGCACCGATTGTTGTGTGGTTATACTATCTGCGATATACAGGCAGAATAAGACTAATAAAATCTTGTGTCTTGAATCTTGCTCAGCCAGCAAGAATCAGTACATATTGATAATGTAATCTTTCTGATTCTTTCTTTAAGTGCTTGCATGTTTACTTACCCTGAATAAGTTTCTCTTTAACTAGTTTCAGAAGAAAAAAAGCTATAGTCATTTAAAGAGTAGCAATCAATGTTTGCTACTTTTTGTTTACAACATCAGTATTTTCCAGCAATACGTACACAATGAGGTGGTTGATTTTAATGACGCCATCTTTGAGTAGCTGTGATAGTGATGCGGCCAGCTCTTTCCTGAGATGTCCCACCATATCCCCCTCCAGACTCCTGACCTGGATAGCATTAGGGTCGTCCTCATTAAATGGTTCCCTCCATAAAACAAGCTCGGTGTTTAAAAAAGAGATGTTGTCCTGTAATAGCCAACAGTATAAGAAAATCATTAAGCTATTATTAAATTTAAAAAAAATGTTTATATTTTATTTGTGAAGCAGAACAACTGCTTTAACATTCGTCTAAAAGATACGAACAAGAGGCTTATAGGCCATAACGCTCACCTGAGTAGCTTTGTCCATGCTGATATTAAAAATATCTTATATATTCGATTTGTGCATTGAGTATATTTGGTAAAGTTCTCGTTATTTAAATTTATGAAATTATGATAACAAATCCTTCGGAGGAAAAATATAAAGCGGTGTCAGATTAGGGAAAAACACACAATCATTCATATTTAAATAATCTTCTAACAGTTTTAGAATCTGACATTGACATGGTGGCTGAAGCAGACATCATGCCTACTATGTTTTCAGTGGAATTTAATATCAAAACTACTACATATCCAAAATAATAGACGCGAGATATGCAATATCAGATTCCAAGTTCACAGATCTTAATTTGTATTCTAGGTGGTGTTTTAAAAGATTAAAATAATTTCAAAACACCAATTTAAAAGAATGTGATGAAGACCTGCATCACCATGTTTACTAAAATACACTTAAATAATTGATTTTTAAGAGGGATTTAAGTAAAAAAAAAAACGAAGATTCTCCTACCTTTCCAGGATAATGTCCAACACCAACGACCTCTGTTAATATCTGGCATACCGCATGTACCGGCTGAATAGTCATGATGGCCTTAATATTAAGAAGATGAACTGGTGCCGTCTAAATTTGTACAAGCTGAAATTAGCATCTTATCTGTTATATAATGAAAAGTGATAATTTGTTGAATCAAATTGATAATTTCCTATAAGAAATCACTAATCTATTACTTATTTATTAAATTACTAATTTGATATACATGTATCAAAATGAAATTAATAATTTGATATAACAAATTAATAATTTGATAAAGCAAATTATCAATTTGTAATAACAAATTACTTATTTGTTAAACCAAATTAACTATATATACATGTACTAGTATACTGCTGCGGCCAAAATACCCTTCCGTGGTATCTTTAAATTTATATTACAGATTATTCATTGTTTTGCTCATCAAACTTTCTTGCCCCCCCCCCCTCCTCATGCTCCTTGAAAAACGTTTTTAATATACTGGGGCACTGCAACAAGTAGCCTAGTGGTAGGTGACTAGTTTTCTAAAGCCATGGGGAAGTTAGAATTTGATTGGCCAAAGTCCCTAAGATAGTGTTGCGCCAAACAAAGTTTATCATACATGTACATGTGCACTGTGGATTGTAACTATTCCTTCGGCAGTCAAAGTCTGACAATGATGAAAATTAGACCTGCTATGTCCGCACGACCCCTATAGATGTATAAGAGAGAAATGATCATATCATCACTTCGTCGTATAAAGTTCTACAAAACAAAATTAAGAATGAAATCAAAAAACATAATACATAATAGTAATGTAAAATTTAATTGAAGTAAAAAAAAGTAAATAAAAAATATCAATTTATTTCATTTTGAAAGACTTTATATAGAATAAATTTATATCTTTAAAAAAAAATTACAATGAATTGTGGCGCTGATACCCCTCCATATTTTTTCATCATCAACAAACATTTGCAATAAACTCATAATATAGATTCTGGAAAAGAAAGATTACATAAAAAATACACACACATTAGTAGTTTACACTCAAAGTCAAACACATTGTCTGGATTTTGAATGCGATTATCCTCGTTTTTAAGTATCTATAGGATATTATTTTTAAAAAAATGCAGCAGATGTTCATGATGTTGAGAACTACACCAGTCTGAGGCCTGTACGAACGTTCGCGAGCGCTCGCCAAACTTCCTTATACCTCCAAAAAGTAATTTTTGCGAGCGCTCGCGAACGTTCGCTCTGCTGAACAGGCCTCAGACTGGCTATCGTTATCGCATGTATTAAAAATATATATATAACTAAGGAAATCCCCTTGATATAAATATAGAATCTTCACCGTACCTAGCCGCACATGTATTGATCATAATGATGTGTAGACATTTAAAATACCCCTTTAACACTTGCATAATTAAATTACGTGTACAAGTCTACCACCATGACTTTAGCAGTCCAGTCCAATACGAAAATTCGTAATTTTACGAAAAAACGTAAGATTACGAGAAAGCGTAATATTACAAGTTATCGTAATATAAAACTTACGAGGGTTGATCCAAAAGTTCGTGGAATTTCTTTCTAAAATTTTATCGTGATTTGATAAAATCAATCAACAGGCATATTCATAATATAGAGTCATAATGCAACAATATTGGAAAATTTCACAACTTTCCAATTACCAATAAGGTCACAGGAAATTTCTGAAAATGGATAGTTGGGAAACCCGGGGGAGACTTCGACGTAACGTCGTTAGATATGTCACGTCACGTTATAGAAGCATCTCGCCCAAATGTCCAATTATAATAGGTAATTCTACAAAATGCTGCCTTTTCTCCATTTTTTTTCTTAAGAAAAGCCTGGGTATCCTCTCGCACCAACTTATCTTCATTTTTTACTCATATTTCAAGATACTACCCATCTTTCCATATGATGTTCCAATTTCAGTAGCAATGTCAAGAACAGTACGGCAGACAACAACGTCCATTAACGCTTTTAATTTGTCTAGGGGGATACGTACTTAAACAGAGCCTATAAAAAGCGATCACACCTTTTATCAACGTCCATGGAAGTTCTATTTTTCTTAAATTTCATATGCCACTGGAAAACCAGTAACTAAATGCATTTTTCCCAAGCCTATGTCAATAATATACGCGTTTAAGATAGAGTGATTCCGGGATTTTCACAAAACGTGTGACTTGACCGAAATTTGACGTTATCTAACAACTTAAAGATGAACAATAAATCATCAACTAATGAACTAAATATCCAGTAAAATCGGTAAAAACCTTCACACAAAGGTTTATAAAAGATCAAGCAGTCGTAATAATGACATAATTTTCGTTTTATATACCACATAGGGCGGGTTTTATTCTCATTTCAGGTATTAAGAATTAGAATGATAATAAACGCGTTCATGCTCCCCCGCCTTTCCAAACATCCGTTTCTATGGCAACTGCCATTAAGTTACTATCATTAATATTTAAAATGTTTTTTTTTATTTAAAATAATCAACATGTGCCTATATTGTCATTTGTAATTTTCAACCAATTCCACTGAAAAATAAATAGAATGTGAACAAATTCCACGAACTTTTGGATCAACCCTCGTATATTACGATTTTTCGTAATGTAGTTAAATTACGAATATGCGTAATATAGCAGATTGTAGAGACTATATTACGAGTTTTCGTAATCCAAGACAAATTCAAGCATTGCAAGAAATTGAGTGGCGGGTAGCAAAGTATGGCGTTTAATACGAGATGTCACGGGCGATAACTTGTACGACGCTTACTGAGATTTGAAATTCTGTGTATTTTAATACGAATTGCACGAACAGTTGAATTATGAAACGAGGGTGTGATTTTTAGGGTAGACTTCGGAAGAAAAGTAGGGAGTTCGGGTGATATAGACCAATGCTACATGCTTGAGCGAATATTGAAATTTACTGGAAAATTGGTCTTATCCGTGGGAAAATTCCTATAAAAGAATAATAAAAGAAATTGTCCACTCACCCATCGCTGGCGATACTTTCTTCTTGAATTTCCTTGCTTTCTGATAGGCGTAACTGACCAATCTGACCGCATGCTATCATTAGCCGTGAAATCTGATATATTACTGACGTCATACTTTGCTACCCACCACTAAATTTCTTCAATGCTTGAATTTGTCTTGATTACGAAAACTCGTAATATAGTTTCTTACAATTAACTATATTACGCGTATTCGTAATTTAACTACATTACGAAAAATCGTAATTAAAGTTTTATATTACGAAAACTTGTAATATTACAAATTTTCGTATTGGACTGGACTGTTTAGGTAGATAAAGAACAGCCCTCTCAACAAGGTCGATCAAGCGTTGTGGCGGAAACATTTAAACTCTGCTGTAATTTTCTCGTTTTAAAATAGAATTTACAGCTCAGTAAAATCTAAAAATCAATTCTAAACAAGGCCTATATTCTTATACAACGTACCTTTGGCTTTACGTTTGCATTCAATAACACCCCAAACTGCCATGGCTCACGATCGTTCTAAGCTCCGAAATTTGAATTTGTGGTTTATCGTGGCTCACTGTAAAGCATAGAATGGGTTAAAATATTGCGGATCGGAATGAGACGAAAAACTATAATGGGTTTTTGTGTTGTTTGACGTCCCTCTCGAGAATTTTTTTCATCATATAAATATATGCAACCTTGTGTCCTAGGCTTTACTTGGCACTGAGGGCCATTGAGCGGGAAGATCTTTATCGTGCCATCACCTACTGCGACAGGCGGGACCTCGGTTTATGCTGTCTCATCCACGTCCCGTTGAGGGATTCAAACCCGCAACGTAAATTTCAACTCATTCTTTCACGACTCTAGAGCACATGCTTTAACCACTGCGCCAGGTGGGCGATCGACACGAAAACATATAACTGAGAGAAAATTCAGAAAGAAACCTGTCCTGTATAATAGTACATACTGTGTGAGCATATGTACGTACTTGTAACACCACCCCCCCCCCCCCCCCGGAAAAAAAAGGAAAGGAAAGAAGAAATATACTAATGTAGGTATGTCATACTTATTTTTGTATTCATATGAAGCGGAATTTGTTCGAAAGCTTAATGTGCGTGAAAAGAAGAAAACACTTGCTATAGCCTTCAATTCGACATTTAGATATATCGACGACGTATTGTTAATTAACACATATGGAGAAATGGTGTTCATTCTGCTCATTTACATATTCGCCATATTGGAGCTATAATGGCGGCAGATTCTAAAAAGGATTATATAGAGAACTTACAAAAAATTGCCAATTTTTATATTCTTACTATTTCGGATAAAGTTCTTCCACCGATCTTTTGTTTTTTCTTTATATCCTTTACCGGAAATAACAATAATGTTGATGCCAAAGTGAAAGTTGCGACCGCCTTTTTTGATTTGAAAATTCGAAGCGAGAGTACAATGTTTTATTGAAGAAAAGATAATTGAATTAGTGTTTTTATCATTTTTGGTGATTAAATGTAAGTGTTTATTGCATGATGACAGAGTTCTTCCCCCGATTTATAGGTGCAAACGAAGGTCTAGTTTTAGAAAATATTGCTGTTATAAAATTGTACGAAGAGTTACGACCGCCTTTTAAAATCAAAAACGGCAATTTTTTGCATTCGCCTGACCTATACGGTATCATTAATCGCCAACCGACGATAACGCTAAATTCTACCCATTTAGATATGTCGAGTGTTTAAAGAAATTTAAATAAAAAAGTCTTGCATGTTTTTATATTAAAAAATTAAAGAAATGGTATAATTTGAGTTTTTGCAGGATCATATGAATATTAATGAGAAGTAAATCACGCGGGAGCAACCTCATGAATAAACTGCACGTCATTTCTCCATATGAATTATTGTAATTTCCATTCTTATGTCGATGCGATATATCCTGGTGAGCTTGAGATAAAAGATACCACAGAGTTTGACACATCTAGCTGTTTCACATTTGAATATGTTACTTGAAAAAGACGTTAAGGGTATTCTAACGACCAAGCTCTGATATAATAGTTTGCAGTTAACTGTGAAGTTTTGCATTATGTCACGATCTTTTTCGTCAGATGCATCCAGAGTAAGCAATTCATGTGATTGGTCAACTCATATTATCAACATTGACACGGAAATAGTCTGTTGCACGAGCAGCCAATCAGGGATAAGAAGAAAGTTCCAGTCGTAAAGCTTGCAGTTAGGAGACCTGTACTATTTACCTTGAGCGCAGCTGTCAAATAGATTGTGAGTAACGTAACGTAAAACTTCACACTTAACTGAAAACAATAATAAAAGTGATGACTTTAAATTTTCTATCGTCAACCTCCTTAACTTATGAAGTAATATACCTTCATCACCTGTACGTAGTTAATATATCTCAGTTGATTCGATACGCAAGAGCATGCTCTGCGTATGAACAATTTCTAAAACGAGGTAAATTATTGACTATCAAGTTTATGCAACAAGAATATCAACAGTCTCGTTTAAAGTCGTCATTTCGTAAGTTCTATTGTCGATACAATGACCTTGTCAGCATTACAATTTTTAATTGATTCAAATGCTGACTGACGTTTTCCATGCTAATCGTTAGTCCATTATTTATACAGTGAATTGACGACGGATTTTCCCGTTATTTCCCGATCATGACAATGAGCACACTGCGGGTGTGACCGGTCAGCAGGGGGATGCTCACTCCTCCATGGCACCTGATCCCATTTCTGATGTTTTAGAGATCCGTGTTTCCTCTGCTCCTATTTGTATTGTTTTATGGACTTTTGATCTTGAATACTGTTCGTTATATTTACATATATATCTTTCATCGTTCAAATGACACACTCCATTCCACTCCACTCCACTCAATTCTATACTAGTCCACATCATGTTGCCCATCGTCAAAACAGCAGTTACGTAATATGCGCACTATCACGCATCTGGGTAAAAATGAAAGTCATGTGGTTGCAGAGAATCGAACGGAGAAAAAAAGACAGGCTTAATTGTTTGCTCACAAAGTAAAGAAATGTTTGCAATTTAACTACTTGATCCGAGCTGTATAGGGGAGTAGCATTTTGAACATTTGTTATGCCCCGGGGGGGGGGGGGGGGTCAGGACCCCCCCCCCCTGGAATTTCCAGGTTATTAAATTTATATACAAAAGCAAGGAAAAAGTTAACTTGGACCCCCCCTCAGAAAACGCAGACCCCCCTAGTTAATGTGAACTTGTATAAAAGTTGTCTGAAAAGTTAAAGATTTGAAGCATGAAAAGTCTTCGCCTACCCACCCACCCACCCCCAACCCCCATGAAATAGGATTTTGAAATTTTGACGACTTTAGGTTTTTTTTTTTTTTGCTTGTCAAGAAATTTCTTCTGGATTGAAATTCTTTTTTGACAGGGGTGGACCCCCCCCCCCCCTGGGTAAATTTTCTGGATCTGCGCCTGTTTGTCATGTTCGTCTTCAGTCGTTTTTGAAAGTGGGGGGGGGCAAAGAATTTTTTTTTTACTTACCTGAAAAAGTAAAAAAAAAAAAAGATAATGAGGAAAAAGTTGCCCAAAGTCGAAAATCCTATTTCGTGTGTGGGGGGGGGGGGGGGGGGTAAGTTTCCTTTTTCTCAGTGTTACTTTTAGTACCAATTCTAATATCACTAAAAGTGCATGGGGAAGGGGGGGGGCAACCAGGCTTTCTATTAACATTTCCTATATTACATGTGTAAGTAAGGTTGGGAAAAAAAGTGGGGGGTCAGCCCCCCCCCCCCCCCCCCCCCCCCCCCCCCCCCGTTGCTACACCCTTGTTCCCTTGTTCGATACAACGTTATTGTCATTCAACAAACAAAATCTATCATTACGTCGAATGCTGACTTAAGTTTTTGTATTAATCATTAGGCCATTACCCACCAGTCATAACGATCATGAATACTGTACGTCGCGGGTTAGAATACACTGCTAGACACGGAGGCTGTGAAACTGAAAACGTACACTGTATATAGAAAATAAATGTTTAATTAAATTGTGCATTTATATATGTTGAAAAGCCGTTCGGGCCCCTTGATTGGTAAATAAAATATCTTGTATCTTGTAAATATGGATTTTAATTAATAGTATATTAAATTAATTGACAGGGAGTCGCTCTGATTTTTCAGGGAGTAGTCCTCAGATGGGGGAAATAGTCTCTTCTCGGTGAAATAGACAGACCTTTATATGGTATCAATTATATAGAGTAATAACATTAGATGTATAATTAAGTATTTTACAGCACTTATTGCATGTGGAGAAAGGGAAAAAAATTAAATAAGGTGTTTTGTCGTTTTTCTAATATTTCCACATTCACTTTGATAGAATATCGCTTTAAATTGATTAAAAAAAATTAATGACACTATTTCAATGTTGAATATAAAAATAACATTGACTTCAATAGTGAACCGTGTAAATATCGTGTTAAAGTTATCTATATGTATCTTTACACGCATTTACCTTATCGGAGATCCTTGATAAATTCGGGAATTCCAGTGTCAACCACCTTGATTTTATGACATGTTCTTTCTAAACTTTCTTTTGGTAGTGAATATCCTGGTAAGCATTTTAGATAATATTGTATTTCAGTTACGCCAAGGACTTTTCTAACAATGATATTTTAGCGGATCTTTAAGTTGCAAAAATGATTTTATACAACTCATTCACCATGTATGAAGACACATATAGGATATGCCCCAGCCCATCATATATTCCTTTTACTCTCAGTTCAGAATAGTTTTGCTGTTTGTATATAAATGTAGTATTGAACATTTTTATCGAAATGTTATTGACAATATGATTAACTCTCTTATGTTAGTGTTCCCAATGCACAATTCCTTGGCATTATGTATGCTAGAGAGTTTGATGCTAAAGAGAAATTTTGGTTGTGGTTAGATAGGGGTGGGGTATGTTTTTATTAATGATAATTTGATAAGTAGGGACGCCTCATATACGGAACGAGAGCCTGACAGGTGATTCTCAGACCAAAATTTAACCCGTGACCTCTGATGGAAAGACCCCAGATGATGTGGTTGATTAGGTTTTAATATAACACTGTATAATTTATCATAATAAATACATGTTGTTAAATTTGGAGTTATTGTTCAAGTCCAGGTCCAAATCCAATCTCTACCCAGAGTTGTCGTTCGCTTCGCTACAACTCTGGGTAAAGATTGGTCCAAATCAAGTACACGTAAATATGAAGCAATGCGGTAAGACTCAGTTGGACCTGGAATAAATTCATATCTTTAGGGTCTTATTTTTTTTTAGGTTTTTATTCATTCTGCCCATTCACAAAATCTCGATTGGTACAAATGCCATCCGGAATGTGGTGTAAATGAGTGCTGCCTCCATATCTGGAACGATTTGGGGAAAAGGGGGTCATATGACGCCATGTCATTACGTCATCGGAGAGTGACCAATTACTGCGCTCCTCTGTTGGTGGAGAATGACGTCTGCTATGTCCAGCACGCGATAGAACAATGTCCATGTGCTCATGGCTTGATCTGTGTACCAGACGCTGGGGAATTCGGGAAATATCATGGTCGTTGTAGACCTGGATAACTGCATATTTCAATTGCATACATGTATTTTATGTGAAGAGTTTATTAAATGGTATAAAAAAGTTTCCTTATTCATTGATCCTAACAAATACTGTATTTTTAAAATATTAAAGCCATACATTTGTTCGTTCAGTCTTATCACTTCGCTTTTTGACATACACCTTAATTATATAACAACTCAAACATTTATTAATTTTTGAGCCTTTATTAAAACAAATATAAGCATAAGTATCTAGTCATCAAACAACTGATAGCCTGATGGTTCAGCTGTCATAGCATTAGAACTCTCCAGCATTGGAGGTGGGTTTAGTACTGTGGGATTGTAGGACCATTTTGGAAACATTCTCTTGTACAAGTTCATCAACACTGTGTCCTGCGATTTCAGATGTCCATCAAACACACACTTCATGTGACCATGGGTTCCTGTTGATAGAAATAATATAAAATTTACCCTCACACAGAAAATCTAAATACAAAGATCAATAAGAAAAGTTAAATTCAAAATTTCTTGCAACAAATATCACAAATAAATTGAAAGAATCTAGTGACACACAAAGTTTCTTTATATTAAGTAATTTAAAATTTCACATACTCCAGAATGTACAAGTTTGACTTTAATATGTAGTACTACATGTATTTGACCTTTATGTATGAACTGATTGTGTACAAATACAGATTGAAGGAATTTTTTACAAACCTAGAGGTTCCCTGATGTGGCCTCTTCTTCCCCATTTCGTGCGGAGTTCCACAGGTTTGAACCACTCAATATCCTCTGTAAATCAAACAAAATAGATAAATCAGTGCACTGCAAATTTAATAAATGTTCCTGATACATGTAATTCTGCTCACAGATGCATACGAATTGAGGGGATGATTAAATGACATGCAATCACTCTCCAAGGAAATACATGTCCTTGTATGCATTTGTTTTCCAAGATATACTGTAACAATGTTTTGTTTTTAGGTAAATATAGATGTGTACACAATTTGTAGCATAATTATTCATTTTTCCAAATCACAAAATGCCTTCAGAGAAGTTAAGCTGATGGTTTTTTGTTTTACTCTACTGTAAATTTCCTATATTTTCCACTGAGATTCTTTACACCTTTTAATCTGACACCCTGTCCATTCTGACAAAACATTTGTCTCCAAGAGCATGTAAGAGTAGATATTTACATTCAGTGTGGTTTTCCTTATGAAATTCATTAGAAATCCACGACGTTCAAATTACTATAACACACGCGAAACCTTGTCACCGCGCGTTAGAATACATAGTAGGAACTATATGCAATTTCAATACTCTAGGAACACCAAAATGTAAAATATTTTACTTCAAGTTAATGAAAAACTATAACCCTGAAAAATTAACGTAAAAATTAACGTAACGTGCGTTAAGAATTAATTTGTCACTTTTTTCCTCGCAATGTTTGTTTGCGTAAGTTAACTTTGCAACGTCATTTGACGTCGCAAACGGCTCTTACATCTATTAACCACGGCAGTTTTGAAAGGCGCTAAATTCACATTAAAGATTAACGAAATAAGCAATTATGAAGAACAAAAATTAAAGAATGTAAATATAAGCATTGAATTCATATTTTTGTCTGTCTTCGGTCCTATAACACACCTGGCTGTGCCGACAAATTTATCATACCGCGCTAACGCGTGGTATTCAATTTGTCGGCACGGCCAGGTGTGTTATAGGACCGAAGACAGACAAAAATATGAATTCAATGCTTAAATACATGTAGATTTCACTGTACTATCAGTGCAGATGTCATGGACCACTCACCTCTGTTGAAGAACATGTATCTGACGACAGCTGACCGTTTGTTGATTTTGAAGGGATGGCCACTGAGTACGATACGTTTGGTGATGATTCTGTCGGGATCTACCGAGTGTAAGCTTCCCGTAGCTACTAACTCATGCTGACCTATTAATGATACATAAATACAAAACATCTGTGCATGGTGAACATTGAAATTTAAACAGGTATATACTCACTTCAAAAGTCTTCTCTATACACATGCAACTATTATTCTTATTGGTGCAATACAATGAGGAATATCTCACCATCATGTTGTTCTTTAAACACTAGGACAGGACATGGAGGAAAAGATATTGGCGCAAAAATGGTAGCCATGGTGACGGTATCATGGGCAAAAAACCTTTCAAACTGCAACAAAATACACATCAATAAATTTTATACCATTTCAGAACTGATATCGAGTAGTATAAAGTGGCTATTTAAAATATATGTCAAGAACAGGCATACAATGTAAGGCACCTGGAAAATAAATAAATGTCCTTAGAAATAAGTTAAACCTGAATTCTGATCTGCTTACTGATTGGTTAAGAGATTGTGACTTGGTCCTGTTAAGTAAAGGCCATTGAAAATATATTATAACAATTCTGCTTAATGAGCAATATACTCCTTGGTTACTAACCTTGTGTTTGTTAGCATTTGTGTGCTGTGAGAAAATCGGACATGCAGAGTATCTCCGAAATCCAACATGGAAGATAAACCTGTCCTTGGACTTGATTGGTGGCCTGTATTCTGGTACCCGCCTCAACAGGAAGTTAAGAACAGACATCTTGTGTTCATGTGGCAGCAGGCCAAAAATCACAACAGGTGTGCCAGGTTTATAGGATGCTGAAATAAAGATGAGTCTACCAGGCTGAGTCAAGATGACTTCATATTTAAATGGTTGATTAATGATATTAAATCTTAATATTAAAAACTCAGAGCTCTCTTAACTCTCAAGTCGGGACATTTTGATAAATGCTGATTGATCTACTTACTTATAAAATCTTTTGGCACATTGGAAATATGGATTTGTATATACCAGCCACTCTATAAATATATTAAATTCGTAAAAAAAATTAATTTTTCAATCATCACGAATCAAATTAATAGATACATAAACTACTATAAATTCTTAAAATCATGGTTTCCAGTATTTATCAACATTTTGACTTACCATGACTCCCTCGTCTTCTAAATTCTTCAAAATCCTCTTCTTTGTCCTTTTGAAATCTTTAAATTGGAAAATCCTGGCGTAGTCCGAGGGGAGATTTTCTTTAGGATCCCAAGGGGAGGTTCTGAAACTCTTCAACCCCCGATACCTGTGACAGGGGAAAGGAAAGTTCTATCATACAGGTATGTATTCATAGTGATAGTAAGAATGCTTGGAATGAATATTTTATTAAACTTTTTTTACTTCCTCTATGCTAACAAGTAAATTCAAAGCAAAATGAAAAAAAAAAATCATTTTCAAAGTTCAACAAAATTAACAGAGGTCTGTTTTTATGTTGATTTTTTACATAAATACAGCTTACTCCACTTATATTGAACTCGCTTATTTTGAAATTCCGCTTATATTGAACTAGAAATAAATCCCCAGTTTTTGCCTCTCATATTCTTTGCATTAAAATAACGGTTATATTGAAATCGGATATATTGAAATTTCGCTTATATTGAAGCCACTGATCGGTCCCCACAGGTGATAATGAGTTGTTTTCATAACGGTTATATTGAAGTACTCCCTGGCGGCTGTCGTTACGTTTGGTGACGGTAATTATGCCTGATTGACCAGGTGATATGCAAAGGTGTGAATAATTAAGTTTTCACCTTATGTGTTTTTATACTGCATGTTCTTACGAAATAAATTCTTAACTGTTAAATTCTTTGCGTCCATGTATATAATACGGACATATCGAGACTAAACATCTAACATAATACATGTACCCAGACAGCATGACTACGTTGGGCCAACGCTGGCTAAAGGTTGTACGGTTGGTCTTTAGTTGGCGTTGGGAAGACAATGTTGGGCCAACGTTGGACCAACGTTACCATGTGAATAACCTCTTTAGTACCCAACCATGTTGGGTTTCTTACGTTGGCCCAACGTTGGTCCAACATCAACTAATTTCGTTTCGTTATATTTTCTAATGAAGTTGGGGTTCAATGTTGGCCCACTGTTGGCCCAACGTTTGTAATGCAACCTTAACCAAACTGTCAACTTAATCTGGTAGCAGTATGTTGGCCCAACGTTGGCCCAATGTAAGCTTGAGTGTTTGTTTTAAGTGTTCTTTTATAGTTAGAATAAGTACATTGGGCCATTGTTGGGCCAACAGTTAGATTGCAAACTAAAGGATGATGTGCATGAGTTGGGGGCATTACATTGGCCCAGTGTTTGTTATACACTAGGCTTTTATGAAAAGATCATTAATTTCTTCCATAGCAATGAGACTAAACTCACTATGGTTTATTGATGACAATTATACTTTCCTGTTATTAGTATCCACTTCTCAAAAAATCTTCTCTATATAGTGTCTGTTTATAAATTTTGAAATCTTAATTATCTTAAACTTTGAGTGTAATTGTTATATTTGTTTCTCTCGTATACAATTAACGAAAAGTCATTATAAAAGGAGACTAAATAAAAGTTTTTCTTACATTAGTTTACCCGTTAATATATAAACGACCGAATAAAAGTTAGCATAATATGGAAACTAAAAGTTCCCAGGGACGGGATGTGAATGACGCATAAATCAAGATAACCCAGCCAGCTTTATAATTGCATTCAAACAAAAGTTAGGCGAGTCGCTAAAACTGAAAGAGTCGCAGCAAATTTAAAACACCAAAATGTGGAGAGCTGTCAAGTTTAATTACTCACAGCTGGCTGATAAACTCAAAATGCAGAGGAAGTTACAGTAAGGTTGGGATTTTAAAAATTTGGTGCACACAACGGCTTACGGCGAAGTCCTAAAAGAAATGTAAGTAAAGTATTATTATATTTGAAAACTATAGCTACTTCTTTTATAAAATGATTCAGTTTATATGAAAGACATAATATCTTACATTGTATATCATGACGAGAAATGAAATAGATAAGAAAATTTCAGTATATATGGTAAGGTGTGTTTAATGGTAAATTCTTAAGTATTTAAACAGGGTTAAATGCATCATGAGTTAATCAAAAAAATAAATATTTCATCAATTTTCAAAGATATTAATATATTCACTTTTCTTAACAGCTATATATTGTTCTTAGACGGGGAAATGTGCTGTGTCAGTGTGCATTAATTTGCAGCAGATATAGAACTTCATACTGGTTCATTGATGACAATGAAGAAGGAGGAAGAAAATGGGAAAAAAGTGCATATGTGAAAAAACAATTGCAATCCGAACAAGACTAAAGAAGGACGTTTCAAATGCTCTTGGATTATACTATTTGTGTCTTTAAACAATATTTTACTGAAAAGAGGGATTGATAAAAATTGAAATTCAAATATTGCCAAGTTGTGTTGTGAACTTTAAGCTCCTTTATATTCTATAGTTATGGGATTTTACAAGTTTTTGTGAACAAAGGGATGGTTCTGGAATTGATGTTAGATGATGTTTGAAAGAAGATTGTGTTTGAAATTGAAATTTCAACTCCCTCATTATATTAAACGTTTTAGATTTGACTGTGTGCCGAATCCAGTCAATCGTAGAAGCAAGTGATGCAGAAGAAGTGTGGAGTATAAATCGACATCTTGAATACATTTTAAGGCAGAAACGTGAAAGCAAGACGTATTATTATTTATTCTTAAACTCTGTAAGCTTTGGCAAATGTTTTTGTTTAATTATTGTTCTAATATTGAAGCAAACTTAACAGAATTTGTTAGAAACTAACAAATAAATTGTACAGTTTATCACTCACTTTTTTCTTTTGCCTCATTGTCAACATTAGCTAGTTATTAATTTTTGTCAAGATGGCTTAATTTTGAATGGAAATCATTATTTATATAGGATAGGTTGGGCCTCTGTTGGCCCTACATTGAAAAAATAACTATCCGTAAAATAATAATTGACCATTGTTTGACCAACACAGGTACCGGACACTGGACCCCCATTGAGCCACCGATGGTATGTTGGTGAACGGACGTTGGGCCATTGTTGGGCCAACACAAAAAGTACGTTGGGCCAATGTTGGGCCTTTGTTGATAAAATCACTGCTGGTAATTGACGTTGGGCCAATGTTGGGCCAACGTTGACCAAATGCTGTAATAAAATAGGCTAACGTTGTGCCAACGTTGGGCCAACATGTTGGGCCAACGTAGGGCCGATGAGCAAACTTGCATTGGGCCAACGTTAGGTAGCCAACGTTGGACCAACGCAGTCAACAACTGTGCGCCAACGTTGGCCCAACATAGTCATGCTATCTGGGTATTATAATAGAGCCCCCACAGATCTAGAAAAAAAAAATTTGAAATAAAATGCTTGCTGTTAATTTGCTAATTTTAGATCGGGATTGAACTTGTAAAAATGGCGGCTTCACGATTTCGCTTATATTGAATTACGGATATATTGAAATAATTTGCTTAGTCCCCTGAATTTCAATATATCCGGAGTAGGCTGTATGTGTAATAAAATCAAAATAAAAAAAAAATAATTTATACGTAAAAATATGATGTTATTTCAATACATGTACCTCTGAAATCGATCTCTTGCATCCTTCTCTCTTGGGGTGTCAATTTCATCGGGAAACATAACATGACTTCTCTCTTCTTTGATTTTCTCCAGTCTAAAAATATACCATAATGTATCAAATTACATTTCAATTAATTTATTTTTGAAAATTAGATTCTTACAATTTATGTTTTAAGTTTTTTTTGTTTAACTCTTTTATACCTTAATTTACTCTTATATCATGACCAAAAAAAGATTTGTATACATGAGAGCATTTTATATAGTATTATTTAAAAGAAAAATAAACAGGTGAGAAAAACTACTCACATTCTCTCTTCTTCATCCATGTCTATTGTCTGGTCATAATTGGCCACATCTCCAGCCTCTGTTACTGTCAACTACAAAGAACAATATCGGTCAAATCACAAATAAATCTAAATAATTGTCTGGTTATAGTTATAAAGCCACATCTCCAGCTTCTGTTACCGTCAACTACAAATTACAATATTGATCAAATCACAAATAAAGCTAAATAAAATCAAAGAACAAAAGGTTCAAATGTGTACCTGCTGAGCATGACATTGTATAGTGTAAATCCCTGCGTACCTGAACCCATGTACTTACTGAGGTATACAATGTAAATTCCTTTGTGTACTTACTGTGTCATACTCCACTTCCTCTCCTGATTCTGACCCCGAGGCATCAACGGCCATCATGTCTTCTTCCTCCATATCCTCATCACTGTCATCACTCTCATCATCATCATTTATCTAGAATGAGTGATGATTAAAACAATGTAGGAAAATCTTTACACCATCTATCAACTCTGTTCTGAGAAGGTCATAGAATAATACAAGGCTTAGCAATACATTTTATGCAATGGTAGTCTTTTTTGATAAAATGAAATTAAAATATCATTATTCTACACTATAGACTGAAGTGTAATTGCAGTATTTGCCACTAAGAATGGATATATTAAACTTCAACTTCTTTTTATATGTCCTTTAAATCTCATGCTTGTATAAATAAGACAACCACTGGTGACCTCCCTTTGTGTACAATAGTTACCTCCTCTTCCTCCCTGTCCACAATCCAGGAGGCCTGATATTCTGATGTCCCTTTAGGAACCCTCTTTACCAGTTTTGTCTTAGCCTTTAAAGCAGCTGTCCCAAAATAATTATATTAAAATCATTACCAGTAAATAATGTGCTTCATAAGAACAAATTTCTTGAATTCATTTGTACAGTCATATTGCATGTACAATACAAATAAAACAGTTACAAAATACATATAAGTTGAAATCATATTCATTATGTACACTCATTTTAAGGAATCTTGCAAATGAAATACTTTAATGATGACAAACAGAGGTTTTAGGGCAGTTCTTTTATTGGCCCATGGGCCACATCGCTCACCTGAGAAGCTTTGATCATTCTGTTCTTTAAAAGATTTCCCCCTTGTAATACATATTGTGATCCCACCCTATCCCACTGATCATAATTAAAATAATTTGAAATCTACACTACCATACAATGCTTAGATTCCCCATTGTAAAACTTTGATTTCCCAATGTGGCCCGCCCTACCCCTGGGGGTCATGATTTGAACAATTTATAATTTACACTACCCCAGGATGCTTCCACATAAGTTTCAGCTTTTCTGGCCAAGTGGTTCTTGAGAAGAAGATTTTTCAAAGATTTTTCCTATATATTTCAATGCTAAACTTTGATTCCCCATTGTGGCCCCGCCCTACCCCCGGGGGTCATGATTTAAACAATTTAGAATCTACACTTACCCAGGATGCTTCCACATAAGTTTCAGCTTTTCTGGCCAAGTGGTTCTTGAGAAGAAGATTTTCAAAGATTTTTCCTATATATTTCAATGCTAAAATTTGATTCCCCATTGTGGCCCCGCCCTACCCCCAAGGGTCATGATTTGAACAATTTAGAATCTACACTACCCCAGGATGCTTCTACATAAGTTTCAGCTTTTCTGGCCCAGTGGTTCTTGAGAAGAAGATTTTTTAATGACCCCACCCTATTTTTGTCTTTTCTTGATTATCTCCCCTTGTGATGGGACTTGGCCCTTTATTTTAACAATTTGAATTCCCCTTCACCCAAGGATGCTTTGTACCAAGTTTGGTCAAAATTGGCCCAGTGGTTCTTGAGAAGGAGTCGAAAATGTGAAAAGTTTACAGACGGACAGACAGACGGACAGCTAGACAGACGGACGGACGACGGATAAAATGTGATCAGAAAAGCTCACTTGAGCCTTTGGCTCAGGTGAGCTAAAAACATTTGAATAAATGCCCCCTTTTTTTAAAAGTACATGTACGTCCTAGAATGGATTCTCAACAAGACCTAATTTTAAATTCAACTTGTGAGGGATCAAATCAGACAAATACTTCAGGCTAAAGTAATAACTATGGATGCCTGACCTTCGGCCTCGGCCATTTCCTCCTCTGTGGGCCAGGTCTGCTCCCCCTCCATCTCCCCGGGGATGTTCTCACTCTGTAGGGATTCCTGACGCCCCGGGGCGGCCCGCTCTAGGACCCGCACGTCCTCAGTGTCCTCCTCCATAGTGTCCTCCTACAGCAGGTCAGAAATAAGAGTTATTAGCATCATCTGATGTCAGTAAACTTCAAAATGTTCATTTTCATAAAAGTCAGTTTTCTAAGGCTTACAATCTACCTGTAAAAACTAAACAGAAAGATCTGCCTGAAATATTACTTCAGCAAAACTAAAATAATAGCTTAAAGAAGTACAATATTTGTTTTGCTGCATAGAAAACAATTCTAAGACTTTCATGGACAAGGTGAGAATTTTGTACATTTGTCATTTGTGTACCAAAAGAAATTTTTCAACCATGGTAGAAAGATTTCTAGAAATATAAACCTTCTGTTTGTCGGTCTTTGCATTAAGGGGGTAGGGGTCATTCCTGGCATCAATCTGTGTCATCTGGAAGTCTCCCCAGCCCACTATATGTACGAGGGAATTCACAGAAAGACTCCTCCCTCGCAGGAATCCTGTCACCTTTAGAGTTCCAGTGGGGGCCTGTAATTAACAAGAGTGTTCATTAGCTTTTAACATTTTCCTGTCAATCAGGATAAGAAAGCAAGTCCAAAACTTCCATAGATGGAACTGATTCATATATTTCTTCAAATAACTTGAGTTTAAATTATTTTATGGATTCTTCTACAAATTCTACACAGACAAGTAGTAACATTAAAGGTGTACTACATTAATTATATTGATAACATATTCTTTTCCCTCCTACATGTAGGTTATTATTCTCAAACAACACTGTAAAACAAAAAATCTCATGACAGCCACCTCTTCATTGTCCAGCTCAAACTGAATTTCCTCTGCTATCATGTGTGGTCTGTTGTCTCTGTAGTGTACAGCTTTGATTTTCTGGTTTGTTATATTCCTCATCACCAGCAGCCCGTCTTGTTCTGAGTCAAGGCTTTGAAGCTTTTCTTGGGGAAACCTGTCAACATGAATGAAAAATTTGTTGTCACTGCAAAGATGTTTGATAAAATTTGCCTGAAACTTGTGAAGAAAGGAAATATGTGAGAGAGAGAGAGAGAGGAGAGGGCGAGATGGAGTGATAAAGAAAAAGGTGGTGATATATGGTTTCAAGTTGCATACCACTTTTCAATTTTCTTCTGTATAAATTTTCTGGCTTCTGATTGCTTTTTCCCTCCCAATTTTTTCAGACCCTAAAAAAATCAAGCAAATGACAATATGTAATCATGCAATCATACATGAATTTCTGTTGGAAGGACGCAAGTTTTTAACATAGCTTACTAATCATAATTCTTTTTTATATGCATGTCATATTAAACATAATTCTTTCTATACATCTGTAGAATTCATTGAAACAGATTGTAAGGCTAAACAATCTTCTTAACATGTACATGTACCTCTCAAATCAAAGGCCTGAAGGGCCTGCGAGTTGACTCGCTCGAGTCAATTGAGCTTTTTCATACATCTGGGCACCATACCTTAATATATTCAGTTTATTTTGCATCTTAAGAGATTGAATATTATATGTTGATCCATGTTTGGTTCATAAATAAAGTGCATATTGCTTTTCCTTTATAAATACAGGTTGGCACTTATGGGCTTCCTTATTATTTTGACTGGCTTCTATATTGAATTTCAACACATTAGCTGAAGTTGTTAGTGTTATGGAATAATTAGGTTAAAGATTCCCACAGCAAATCTGGATTCTAAAAATAGATTTTCAACAACAACTAGCTGCAGCTAATGAGAGCAGCAGGTGTTTGTGTTAGGGAGTATTCTAGGTCAATTATAAATAAACTTCAGATGGGAAGATTAGATCCGCCTAACATGCTTGAACATATATTCATACGCAGTAATTGTACATCATACAGGTATTTAATCAAAAATTTCTTTAAAAGCATGATGGCATTAATAATGTTAAAGTATGAAATTTTATACAGTTTTTACTTCTCAAGTTTATACAATCACTGAAACCAAAGCATTTTTGCTAGAACTATTATATTTGGCGTATGGATCACCTTGATGAATGCGTGAAAAATTTTACAGAGCTCTCTGAAACGGCTATGTCGACAAGGAGTAGCTCGCTACGCGAGCCAACTCAAAAAAATGTATCTTGTCATTTTTATAATTCTTAATTGTTCCATTTTAACATTCACTTTCACAAAACTGTTCAATAAACAAACTTGTCCACCGAAATATGGCTGAAATATTGCCGCCTCGGCGTTAAACAATATAAATCAATCAATCACTTAATAATGCCATTCCAATGCAAAAATATTCAAAGTGCTGTAAGCTTTCACATTTACCGAGAGATTAATTTTCAAACCTGTGTCACAAATGTAACTGAGGGAATTCCCTGGCCGAACAGACACTTCAGTACTTGTTCTCCGTAATCGTCTATCCCTCCCTCTGGGGAGAGGACACACAGCAGGGAGTCCGCCACTTTCACCGCGTCCATGACAGCGTACAAGTTTGAAAACTCAGGGACGTAAAAAGACACTCGCTGTTTAAATCTTGGCACACTGCAGAGAAAACATAAATAATACATGTACAATGTAATAATCAAGCAAATAGTGAAAGTAATGAACAATTTGAGAATCTATAAAATTGTACACATGCATCCAAATTCATAGGTAAATTTCAATGTTTCATTTAGACTAAATTTTTAAAACATGAAATAAATAAAAATGTGCAAGTAAGGCCATAATAAATAAATAGCTAGATTCTCATCCGAATTTTTTTAAAAATCGAGGCGGGCGGGCGGCTTTTATTTTATATTTTTTATTTTTTCAATTTTGCAGAATTCTTATTGACCTGGTCACTCTGTGTAATTTCATCTACAATACCCGAATAAAAGTCAAAGTAAATGTTCAATTATCTCTTACTTCACATCATCACCTATCTTTTTCAACCAATGACCCTTGTTTAAAATATACACGCATGTATTACAGCAATTACCATCTTTTTAGCTGTCAAAATCATGTCAACTTTCGCGGGATTTAAAAGGAAAGTAGAATGGTAGATGAATACCGATCCCGATCAGAATTAAGACGAAGAAAAACAGAAATAAAAAAATCGAGGCGGCGGTATAAAATCGGGGCGGGCGGGGATGAGAATCTAGGAATATTTTTATTATGGCCTAATACTGCATTATATTCTGCTGTATTTTTAGTATGACATTGTGTATAAATATTCATCATAAACAACAGCAGTATCAATATTTTTTGAAATATATAAAGTAGATCTAGAGATAGTGGATTTTCCTTTTTTAATTCTGTTCAGGGAGTCAAAGACTTGTCTATGATTTCTGCTTTCTACCTGACATGGATGACCCCTTGTTCATTCTGTGTGACAACAGCTGACTCGTCACATGACTTCAAGACTTCTAACACACTACTCAAATCCAGATCTTCATGTAGGGATAGCACTACCTGTATCAAAGCATGTATGGACATAGGAATCTTTCTTGTTCATAATAATCTTACAATCCAATGTCTTTTTAGCAGAATCAACTATTGTTAACCCATTTAAAAGTTTTGACCTCTTTGAAAAATCTGCAATGGAGGCCTTTATAGTTAAGATATTAATTTTAAGATTCACTGACCACAAAGTGAGGAGGTGATAGGTTGCCTCCCCTGCTCCTTTTCTGGCTTAAAATCTCATCTCGCTTCTGTTTTCTGACTTGTGCAATCTGAAAAACATAATTTCTATGAGAAAATCTCTCAAGATTTTTTTAAATACAATTCATTTCTAAGTCATGGATCCATCAATTCATATCCAGATTTAAAAATTCAAGTTGATCACAAATTCTGTTATGAAAGTTGAAGAAATTGATAATGAACATGAAATCTAAAAATTTCAAATAGGAATAAAATCTCACGTGGTGTTTTCTGTCCTGCTTTCTCTGTTGAGCTTTATTTTTCTTTGTAGATGTCTTCACATTGACTCTCCCTTAAAAAATGTTAGAGAAATACATTTTATGTAAGGTTTTCTAACTTTTTAAAGGAAATTCGAACTGGCTCTTTCAGATTTTGTTGTCAAGTGTTATTCTACTAACCTTTCGTTTCTTTGTCTAGTTGACCTTTACTCTTGTGTTTTCCGTGTTTGTGTGTTTTATTTTGTTGCTTCAGAGCCCCAGGACGATGGGCTTGTTGTACATCTGCAGCCATTCTGTCAAAATTTCCAACACGTGTTTGCAAACCGGAAGTTTTGATTTTCTGCGTGCGTAAGCGGCCTTACAAAATTTTAAAACGACGTAAGCGACTGGTATGGCCGACGAAGAGAAGCCGCAGCAAAATGACCAAGATGCACAGAATCCAGGAAAGCAACTTCTTACACAGGGAACAACGGGAGAAATGTCTCGTCCCAACAATCTACAGCGAATTGCACAGAAAAAGGCGATGGTTAAGAATTATTCAAGAACGAAAAAGTTGGAGAAATTGGCCGTGTACTCATCCTGCAAGGTACACAATTTTGTAAACAATGGAGTTATCTCCCTGAAAATAAGAGAATATTTAGGTTTTAATGAAAATCTTCAGAAATTATCACATTATGTTGAGCATGTTTAAGCCATTTTAAGTAAACCAAAAACAAAAGTAATTCCGCTGAAGACGGAAGACCTTAATTATTAAATTATATCAAATGCAAAATGCAGTTTTTATTTTTTATTTTTAATTTTACCATCGTGCAACAAGAATTTTCAAGCTAACTGTCCTGGAAGTAGTGTTTTAAAGCATCTTCTTGTTTTATAGACAGAGAATTGTAAGTGCAATGGTTGGAAGAACCCTAACCCCCCACCCACCCCTCCGAGAGTTGATGTATCTCAACCGCTCGCCAATCTCACAGACCCCTGCAGAAGCTGTAACCACACACTCAGTAAGTAACTCTACTCGCTACACAGCTGAACTTCAATAGGTCGATCTCAAACACAGATATCTCAATTACTATTGACAATTTGAAGGAATGTGGAAGTTTCAACCACTTATACTTTAATATGTTCTACGGTGCGACCGTTGGGGCGAGCGCAGTTATTTACTACCAAAAACCATTATGCTTTTACTTGCACTGCCTACCCTCAGTTTATTTAAAAAAAAAAAGAAATCACTTCCCAGGCATCGTTATCGAGATTCCGAACTTTTCGGAAGTTTCCGACAAAATTGGAAATACCCGAGTCGTTTAAGTGACGAAAGTATGACGTCAAATAAAAAGTCCTGTTGACTTAGAACACAAACGATAGTTTTGTGGCATGGAGATTGCATTAAAACGTTGTTTGTAATTTTTTTCAAGTAAGTTGTTGCTATGTTTTAGCCACCATGTTGCTATGCACCGCAAAGGATTATTGGGAGTTTGGAATTTTTTCACGCGGTGAGATAAAAATTTCTTGGAACAATGTGCAGATTTCAACCTGAATTTCCTCTGTTCGTACACGTTAGTCTATTGAGCTCGCTATGCGAGCGGCGCTTCGCGCCGCCTCGCTGCGCTCGCTATTAAGTATTTTACCCCCGGAAGATATCTGAAATCCTCAGATATCTTGAAGCTGTTACCTGGTTCCATCATATGGGAGATAACAAGGCTTGATTGTACTGTAATACCAGACAAAAATGCAGTTGAAATCTTTCATTGATTCATGCTCTTTCATACAGGTGCTCACGTTTCACACCTGGACAACACAGCTGAGGAGGAACTGAATCGCCTGCTGAGAATCGTGGTGGACGTCGAGAACTTGTTCATGTGTGTTCACAAAGAGGAAGACGCGGAAACCAAACAAGTTTACTTCTTCCTGTTTAAAGTAATTTTGTTTTGTGCTACAGGGTAAAATGATATAGCTGCAAAAAATTATTTGATTAGTTGTCTAATCTGGTTTTTTTTTTTTTTGGCTTTACTGAACATGTTAATATTTTTAGTTTATTTACAGTTCATAGATTTGTTTTATTTCACAGCTTTTAAGAAAATGCATACTGAACATGAGTAATCCCACCATAGAAGGACCACTGGGGAGCCCTCCATTTGAAAAACCAAGTATTGCAAAGGTTTGATTGGCAATCAATTCCTATATCTTATAATGACATAGTTATAGCTAAGGTCTGATGTGTACATAAGAACATATAAAAGAAATTCTTAAATTGAATAATGAATTAACTTGATACTACAGTTTATCTTGATTTTGTTTGTAAAATTCAACTATTTCAACAGTATCTGTTTATTAATTTAAATGAATATTTGTTCTCTGGGACAGGGGGTGACAAATTTTGTGGTGTATAAATTTGGACATCTAGCTCAGAGAGAATGGCAGACCATGTACGATTTAGCCAAGATGTTCCTACACTGCCTTAATCATTGGAAGCTAGAGACACCCACAAGTCGACAACAGCACGCTGGACCCGAGGACATGCAGACCTATAAAGTTAACTACACAAGGTTCAGTTGTTTTCAATTGTTACAATTTGTTGGTACTGTAGACATACTCTTTTCCACGAGGTCCTAATTCTGCGGAATCTCTATTTCTGTACCATCCGCTGGTAGAAAATTATGCAGGTATCTTAAGACTCTCCTTATTGTCTCGCCTGCGACGAATGTCGCGAAGCGAGACATAGCGACCATAGATTCCGTCGTCGTCGTCGTCGTCGTCGGCGTCCAACTTTTGGTTAACCCAAATGTCAAAGTTTTATAAACTGCAATAACTTTCTCAAATTTTATTCAGTCTTCTTGAAATTTGGACACAATATTCAGTATGGATAAAAATTTATATCCCAAGTATGATTTTGAAAAAAAAAATTCAAATTTTTCCGTATTTTTTCCTTAAGTTGGACTTAGTTTTTTCATGATAATTTATGGTGAAGACCTATATTCCAGCAACTATAAGTTATAGGGATATGATAATTAGTCAGTGGATACATCATGGGTAACCACAAACGTCAGTACCAGAATTAGGTCATCTTGACCTACATTTTTCTGCATGAGTGACTTTGGTTAAATTTTTGGTGGAGGTCCATATCTCAGCATCTATAACTTATAATGGCATGATGATTTGTCATTGTACAGGTTATAAGTAACCAACAACATCAGTACCAGAATTAGGTCATTTTGACCTACATTTTTCTGCATGAATGACTTTGGTTAAATTGATAATGGAGGTTCATATTTCAGCAACTATAACTTATAGTGGCATGATAGTTAGTCAGTGGATACATCATGGGTAACCACAAACGCCTGTACCAGAATTAGGTCATCTTGACCTACATTTTTCCGCATGAGTGACTTTGCATAAATTTATGGTGGAGGTCCATATCTCAGCAACTATAACTTATAGTGGCATGATAATTTGTCAGTGGATACATCATGGGTAACCACAAACGCCTGTACCAGAATTAGGTCATCTTGACCTACATTTTTCCGCATGAGTGACTTTGCATAAATTTATGGTGGAGGTCCATATCTCAGCAACTATAACTTATAGTGGCATGATAATTTGTCAGTCTACACATCATGGGTAACCAACAATATCAGTACCATAATTAGGTAATCTTCACCTACATTTTCTGCATGAATGACTTGATACATATACAGTGGATTTGATTTCAAAATGCAAGTTCAAATTATTGCGACTCATAACACGTTGCAATATTCGCAATAATAAAAACATCACAATAATTTGTGAATTTACAGGGTATATGTATATATATGAGATTTAACCTACATGATGCATTTGGATCCTACCTACTTTTCTGTTTACCAGTTGGCATATGCAGTGCATTACACATGACTCCAGATATTAATCAAGTAAATATAACTTCAACATTTTAAAACTTTCTTGACATGTTACAATGTATGTAATTCATTAAAATCATTTCAGCATCTTTTCATTGACTAAGAGGAAAATGTTGTGTTCATCAGTATGCAAAAGTTATATATTAAATCCATATAAAATATACCTATAGTCAGTCCAGATAGAAACGTTTTACAGTTCTTATTAAGTCCATGACAATATCTCTTTAAAAACCAGCAAAATGACTCGATCCACTTTTTGAGTTATTCCTTCTGAAATGTCAATAAATGCTTCAGTTTATCAGACAATCATTTCTTACTAACCACAGCGACAGCAGGCGAGACACAGGGTTGCGGGCAACCCTTACGTACTTTTATTAGTATTAAGTTTGATGGGTCTTATTTCCGCAGAAAATTTGTGACTGCGTAAATAGCGTAAATTAATACCACGCAGAAAAAAGTACTTTTACTGTATCTCCCATAGAATCATCTAAACATCAGAAAGGAAGGAATGTTTACTATTTCAGGTCATGTGAGATCTGAGTTTTTGTCATACAATTTGTCTCTGCAGATGGTTGTGTTACTGTCATGTGCCAGCCTTCTGTGACAGTCTGCCTCGCTATGAGACCACTCTGATCTTTGGAAGGACGGTGCTGCGCTCTGTATTCCAAACCATGAGGAGACAACTCCTGGACAAATTCCGGGCAGAAAAAGAGAGAATGCCTCCAGAGAAAAGAACTCTAGTACTCACCCACTTTCCAAGGTGAACATAAGAAGTAAATTGCAGCAAATTGTGGGTGTAAAGTCATTTTTTGGTAGATAGATAAATGATTTATTCGTGTCTATGCAGGGTGTATTGAAAGGAATGAGATATGATGGGTATAATTAAGAGCTTAATTGTTGAATGAATCTTTCAAAAGTGATAAAGGCTTAGCATACTTATCCAGTATTCAATTTTTTTCATTGGATGTTGGGGAAAAATAGGATATTGATTAAAGTGATTTCATATATCAAAATTGATATGCTTGAAGATTTTTATCAATGTTGGAAGAGGAAGTCTATGGTACAAATTCTCCGATCTGGGACCCAGACTTTTCACAGAATGCAGCAAATGTTGCTGGATCACCCCCCACTACACGTAAGTAATTAGAGATTACTCATACAGGACATTATCTTGTCAGTGAATAAAAGAGAGTGAAAATCATCTTCAAATTCACATAGCTAGGAAAAAGATTTTCTGTTCATGTGAAATTTAAGAAATGATATCTTGAAATTTCAACAGAAAATGATCTGAGGAGTATTACGTTATTAAAAGTGAAAGAATTTTAAACTTTCCTAAAATGCTAATTTTGAATTGACACCATATGTAATTATAAAAATGAATTGATAATCGAAAGAAAAAAATCACTGAATTAAGTGCATTTTATTATTAGAATATGGTGTATTTTCGTAATTATAAGTTCCTAT